TTGGGCGGTTAAACTACTCTATACATTTGTATTTCGCCTAGCACCAACAGTTGGATCGTTAAAAATACATTACCATAAGACCTGTTACACTGTAAAATTTTATGTTGCGATATCAAGCTACCTGTCGTAATAACCAACGATTGACTGCGTCATCCCTATTGTTGACTTTCCAACATTAAACTCTATAAATTCCGAGAAGTGGGATATTTTCACGTCGAGAAATCGTAAACTCCAACCTTTCGGTCGTAAAATGGAGATTAAACAGAAACGATCGTTTCCATTTTTGATGTTTGAATTTTCAAATTCGGCTAATTAACAGCGTAAAGTAATTTGGTATAAGACTCTCGAGGGTGTAAGGGGATTGTCCTACCATTTATATGCGGAAGAACACTGTGCTTAAAATTATGCTTCAGCGAAACTTGAGAAATTTACACGAGAAAACTAAAATGCATTATATAATAATAAAAAGTAGTTTCCGTTACCGAACAAAAGTTTGATGCTAAGCTTCAAATACGATTTTCTTTACGAGACACAATAAGATCTCCGTGCTAAAGCTAATAAAGTTCGAATTCTCTTTAAGGGTTCGTTTCAATCTTTTATAAAAGTAGGTTCCCTATTTAGCCTGTAACTACGGAGTTGTTCCTGAATACTCAGAAAATCTTGAAGAAAAAAGCATACTAATACAAGAAGACTTACAATGCTATTTTAATATAGGCGACTGAGTAGGTAGTACTTTCAGTTCCATGCGTTTTTATGAGTGAACGAGAGTAAAAGAAAATATTTTTCCTGATTTTTTTATTTTTACCTTTATTTTTAAGTGGGTGGGATTCGCTACCTACGCGACCTGCTTTCCTGTGTTTCGGAATAAATGTTTGTCTTGTCAATCAATTAATTTTGTGTTTATTCGAGCCCATTGTGCGACCCGGATAGAATGTTCATGTCAGATTTACCTTCTCGTATCCAAGATTTATTTCAGGTGCTGATAAAAAAATTTGTAATAAATTATTTGGGAATTTTCCGAAGTTGATCGAGACTACTGTCTCACAAATTATTCATTTAGGTTAATGTTGGGATTTTTCTTTGTAGCGGAAGCCGGAAGTGTACGGGGAGAAATTACAAATTTCAAAGTTTCAATTTTAGTTTGTTTGAGCTAACTGGACGTGTGTTTTTTCAAGTGGTGTGGTTGACCGCATGCCATTGCACACAGCATTATTTATTTGGCGCACAACGTGGACCACAGAAATATTATACGTAACATATTATAAGACATAGTCAATTGTTTTTTGAGACTTGCGTTTCACTAACTTTTGAATGTTAAATAGGCCCCCCCCCCCTGTATACTATTAAATATTTCGATAGCTCTTTTCTTTAAGTGATACCTCATATGTCAACTTCTGACATTTTTAATCTTAAAATATTTAAATTTTAATGACTAATGACCGTTTGCACCGATAAATTTAAGTGGACCTTATCTTAAGCGTAGGTTAAAATCCATGGCAACCATTGTCGCAATAATCGTTGCCATGGATTTTAAGCTACACTTAAGCTAAGTCTCGCTTAAATTTGTCGGTGCAAACGGCCATTAATGTTAAAACATACCTTGGCATACTAAATACAGCTTTAAGTTAGTTTTTTTTGTGGTGACATACCCATAAGGTAAGGTAACGCACCTTACATCTGAAAAATAGCGCAATGGCAAAAGAAATAGGTATGAAACGCTTGGTATACACAGCAATCGTGATAGGTCTTCGAAAGTATAATCATAAATACTGCTTTACGTACCTATGTATAGTCGGAATGAGGTAATTGAAATGAGTCATTGCAGTAAAATAACTGCAATGAGAGTTCACAAAAGCTGGTAGAAGAGGTGCGCAGAACTTATAAACGCTATATCATAGTGAAATAGGCGCAACTTAGTTACCTACAGTAGATACTAAGAGAAGGGGTATAAATATGTGTGAATTCGTGTTCCAAAGTTAACTGATTCCACGGGCAACCTCAGACACCGAATCTGTGCCAATTGTCTTGCGAAGTCAAACCGTGCATTTTGGATGATTTCTACAAGACGCTCAAAAAAATTCCGCTCTAAAATCCTTCCTATGTTATCCCGTCTTGCTAAAAGAGCAAACTGGATACGAAAACCCAAGTCCAAAATAGATACAGCAGTGAGAAGAGGCACCAAGTAATCAAGCCAAGGTAAAATGTAATTTAACTTAATTTTTTGAAACCGTGTGAACGGACGAGGGAATGGTGACTAAGTGATTTCCGAAATACGCAACCCTCTAGTACCAACGATCTTCTTGGAGGGCGGATTAGCAAGCAGGGCCAGGGAAATGGAAACCCTCTTGTCCCTACAGCGAAGAATTTTCCCCAAAGTTGCGGATAGAATGGAATGTGAGAACTGCTAAAAGAGGTAAATGTTGAAAATCTTAAGAGGAAACTGATCAAGAATGTGAAAGTGAAGCAGTGGGAGTGAAATATGGACATGCCAAATTTTACTTCAGTGGAGATAAAAGAGGAAACAAGGGAATGTTACTCAGAGAATAAATCTGAAAGCAAATGGCACTTCAGTTGGAGTCTGTTTAGGTGTATATGACTAGATACCACTGATAATGACGACGAGGAGGTAGAGGAAATTAACTATTCTGAGAGACGAACAGGGCAAGGCATTTTGATGAGAGGGGATATAATTGATATAGGAGGAGAAAGAATCATTGACAAGTGGTGGGACTGTTTGGAGTGCGTGTACCAAAAAACGAAAGAGGGAGAGTAGGGACTGGTTAAATTTTGAAAGCAAAAGAGTTTGGTTCTGTGTAACATGGGAGAGGTTAAAAGCGTAGATAGAAAAGAGATTGGTGTAGATAAGAAATAAGAAGGCATTAAACTAAGCATACGGAACATCGGCGACGATGAGATAGGATGCAAGATAGAGAAAAGAATAAAACGGAAACAGAAATGACGGAAAAAATAGAGGAAAGCAGAAGAAAAAGGAGATATGAATGGAGTAGTTTTAAAAACAAAGATAGGGTACAAAGCCAGTCAGAAGTAAGAAGAAATGGAGATGACGGCAGAAATGGATGTGTGCCGACTATGTGTCTCAATGGTAGAGCATTGGGCTACATAACCGGAAGGTCGGGTGTTCGAGCATTCTGCCGGCTACTCCGAATTAGGTTTTTCTGCAGTTTTCCTAATTCGTAAGGTAAATACCGGAGTAGTATAGAACAACTTAAGGCCTTCTGCAAGGGCACCTCTAAATAGTATTGTGCGGATCACTCTGTAATTGAGCACATGCCTGTTGAGGCCCCAGAACAAGAGAGGGACAATGAATAAATAAATAAAAGATGAAAGATGTCACTTGGGAAATCATCATAGTAACAAAGGTATAAAGGATATATGAAATAAGGCAAGGCTACAGATGTTTGTGGTATACCAGTAGATCTTTTGAAATGCTGACAATACGAAATGTTGAAAGAGTTGATAGCTTTGTGTAATGATAGATGAGTGAGGAATGGCCGTATCTATAAGAAAAGTAATGATACCGTTGTCAAAGAAAAATGGCACTAAGATATGTGGAAAGCACAGTACTATTAGTTTGGTTGTGTATGCTGTAAAGGTACTGTTGAACCGGAAGCAGAATTCTGGGATGGAAGTATGGGAAGAAGAGCACTACGATCTGCGATGCAGAGAACTAATAGTGACTATGATATGTATATTCCAATGGAAAAATGCGCTAAACATGTAAAAACATCCAGCATTTTTATTCTATATTTTTGAGTACATTAAATATTTCGGAGAGAAAGTTTAAAACTAACTCAATAAAAAAAAGTTGGATTTATAATGAAGTGGTGGAGTAGGAGTACTGACATTTTTATTCAGTTTTCCAAAACCTTCTACTGTAAGAAGAAATGATGTGCTTCGAAAATATAGAGAAACTATCAATAACCCTTTCATTCCTCGACTCGAATTGTATGGTGTTATTAGATACAAAATACCACTTTATTCAGTTTTTTTGTTATTTCTGGTAAAAATCGATCAAACAATGTAATCATTTTTTACTCGAATTACGTTAGAGTGATGGAAGCAAGTAAACATATAAGCAATTTCATTTCATGATTTCACTAAAGAAGACACCGTATCAATCATTGCTACAAGCTTAATTGATGAAACGAGAGTTGAGAGTGCTTTTTCGATTTAAAAGTCGTTACTTGAAACTTTAGTGTAAAATGACGGAATGACGAATGAAAGGATTTAAAATATTTGACATTTTTAATTATGATTTTACTACTCCTTCAATTGAAAGCTTTCAAACGCACGGCGCACGCCGTAGGGAATTTCAAAACCGTACAATGTAATGCTCATATTAGTCTAGCTGAAATATTTATGTTGGTTAATTGGTATGAAATAGGCTTGAATTAGTAATAGGAAAATAAATTATAAACCCGCTTAATTATATGAACTGAAACCGGAGCTAGGTATGTGTTCGCAAATTTTCCCCCTGCACTATTATACTCACTCACATTTTTGCGTTCACAATGACTCGGTTTCGTAGAAACTTGATTTTTCGATTCATTACGGAACATAATAAATAATTCATTTTCTACTACAAAACGTGCGCAAAAAGTATGAAATCTTATTCATTATTGTTGATGGGGGTGAGTTTTGATTTTGCCATGAGCAATTAACATAAATGCGAATTTCAAATTTTGCTTCCGTTTTTGTAGCGTCATTTTTTGGTGGATCAAGCAGTTCCTGATAAAATTTGTTAGCGTAATTTTATAATGTAACCGGTTTCTCTCAAAATTATTCTATTTTGATATTCTGAAGGCATTCATTAGCATTCATGGGAACGCAGTTCGATCGTTTTTGAATATATGATGATCTCCTTTCCAGATATTCGTAAAGTGGGAGTATCTTTCCTAAGTACTTTGCATGCGGAGGTGTGCCTCCAAAGTAAGGTGGAGAATTAGCTGTGGAAGAGATCTAAAAGTACTTGCACTAACCTTGAAAGGCCGCTTCAAACTGTAGTTTATTCTCCTGATTATCGTGGATTCCACATACCACCATACCAAGTAAGAAGAATGTCAGACTTCCAAACGCGGCTACCGTAGCCCCCATGGCGCCCCCTAAATGGCTCTCACCGTCCGCAGCAGGCCACCGGGATCACCTACCTTCACATGCATCCCACCCCGGGGCCCACTAAACCACTTTGCTGCTTGTCACTCATTACCCGCACTAATTACACCAGTTATTATTCATACCTCATCAACTGTTGCATGCCGATTCGTAGTTTACTGTGTTTGAAACGAAACTTGGTCCAAATTGCAATTTTATGAATGAAAAGTTAACCCCTATTTAAATTAAAGTACTATAACGAAAAACTCGTGTTGCGATATCATTATAGAGCTTGTATCTCAACGATATAATTGACTATGGTGGTGAAATGGTATATCGTTCAATACTCTCACATTCTACCGCCGATCGAACTGTTACAAGCGCCCTCTGCTTTAAGCGAATTATGTAAGAATCCGTTCATAGAAACGCCGAACCGAAAGTCGACGCCTCCGACGCCCTTACGAAAGCGTCGGAACTACGGCCCTTGACATTCATTGCAAGCAAAGGGAACTACATAAATACTAAATTCGTTCAAATATCCGTAAAGAGATGTTTATTTGTGATGGTAGCACCCGCATTGTATGTGAATTTACTTTAATTGTCCTAAAACAGAGCACCAATTAGATTTTATTTATAAACGCGATACCGTTTATTGACATGTTCAGGGTAGCCATCCATACAATCGAAGATCATACTACACAATGAAACATTTAAATAATTGCAACACTTTTTAGTGTTCCGAACGGGACGCATGGAACCATATTACTATAAAAACCTTTTCTTTTCAATTACAGTAAGTGGCACTTTTAGGCGCACATAAATCCCAATTTTGTATTATAATTCTGTTCATGGTGTGTTTTAACCATATGAACTTATCGTTTTGGAATAGGTAGAATTTTCAAAACGGGACTCTAGCTACACTGGATTTTTTAGCTTTTGCTCCAGTTTTTTGCTCATTTTGCATTGTCAGTAAGAAAACAAGTCAGAAACAAGGATAACAGAAAACGCCATTAATTTATTGTTTCTGCAGTAAAAACTTGTAAAGGAGCCTGTTAAAGGAAGGTGTGTCACAAGATTTTAAAGCCGGACTAAGGGAATTATAAATTTTGCAGATGTTATAACTGAATGAACGTTGATAAGGGTAGTTTTATGAATCGATACCGTTAGAATACTCTTTGATCTAATGTTGATACATCAAAGAATATCAGCTAGCGAGGGTCACTGAAGATAGTGAATAAGAAAATGGAAAAGCCTTTAGATATCTGTTTGAAAGCATTGGCTACTGATAGCATGAAACCGAGCATGAAACCCAATAAATTAATGGAGCATACCATGCGTTCAAAAATGGGTTGCTGTCGAGTCACCTTTAGAATTTTTGTTTACATGGTAAATCATATTTAACTTGAACTTCCAAAGGCGACTCGACAGCAACTCATTTTTGGTCGCCCGTTAGAAGCACTGCACGAGGAATATGTAAGTACAGCACAGCCCAAATCATTTAAAAAACAGAAAACTGATTTTCGGTGAACGTTTGCAGAAAGCTCTCTTGGTTACTTAGTAGCTACCTTCGACAAACTTAATACATCTAATCCTCAAATCCAGGGACTGGCTTTGCCACGTACTCCGGTACTAAGTCCGCGCAAAAATAGCATGAAATATTATGTCGCATTAGCGACAATTTAATTAAAACAAAACAAAATCAATTTACAAATTATTATAAATAAATCACACCAGCGGACGAATGTGAATCGTGAATGTGATATCGGCGAAACGGACTGACGAACTCGAGCGCCACCAAGGAGTACGGCCTTGCCCCCGATCAAGGTCGGAGGTAATAACGGTCTCAAAAACCTCGAGTAAACTCAAATCAGAATGAACGCCACCTCCAGGAATTGGACGAGTTCAGCAAATAGTGGCGGTCACTTAGGAAGCATTAAAACAAACTACGACTAGTTAATTAGCGATTAATACGGGAAAATAAATTCAGGACAACAAAACAATATCCCCCCTTTCAATTAATGGAACCGAAAGTAGCAACTAAACACCACAAGCAAAAGAGATCTCACATTTCGATTATGTACATCCAAAAATTAAAACTTGAATTAATGAATTAATTGATGCGGACGTCCTAAAAATCAGTAATTGGTCTTAAAATTCAAATTAATCAAGAGCGCGTCTTTTGAGACTCCTCACGTCGTAATCGGATGCTGTCCAGTGTAACTCATTCAATCAGATACCGTTAATTATACATACTTAATTTGCCGGATAATATTTTTAAATTCATAATTATAATTAAGCCCCGTTCTCTTGACATTTTTTTGGTTTCTTATCAAACTGATACCGGCGAAAACCTGCATGGTGCTCGTTACAACTTAAATATAATACATTTAAGTGAAAAGATTGAATCGTTTTGCGCAAGACTGCTTAGATACGTTTCAAACATTGTGTAGTAGTATCCAAGATGTTGCTCGCAAAGAGAATCACAAAGATATAAGCTTAAAAGCCTTGGAAGGCACTGCAGAAAAGATACTTTTTTGCTGAAGAGGATGTCACTTTGTCCGGTAAGAATTTTACAGGAAGCTTAAAGGCATGTCGCGGAAAGACTAATAGATACTTCATAAATCACGTCACTCTGGTTATATTCTCTCATCTCTTTAATAAATCGCCCAAAGCTTTCCGTATGTGAAACATAATTTCCTGCTGCCGCTTCCTTGAAATCTAAATATCGAAATAAGCTTCACATCTCAAAAAGAATTCGCTTTTTCCAATAAACTTAACTAAGAGAGATTGTGTGGTTCAATGTGTAACGGAAGATTTTTAATGAGATTTATTATTTTTTATTATATGAGCAATTAGGGCACATGGACGTAGGCACATTTTTATGAAATTTTGATCATTGAAACGATTTTTCAAGGGTGATTTTCCAAATTCATGGTAAAAAGTTGAATTTCGTTAGAGTAGCTCAGTTGTAAGTATAAAGTATTAGCAAGTGGTTTCATTAGAGGATTGTTTATTCCAAAATGTTATTATTTAATAATGAATATTAGTGAATTGATAGTTACCGGAAGAACTCCATAATTCGTTTTCTATTTCTGTTACCACCCCATCATGGTAACTTTTGAAAAAAGGTAATCAAGTTTTCGTATGCCCGAGTGTATTCTATACCCCTCCCCCCCCCCGGACGCCCCGATGCTGCGTACCTCCACAAGGCCGCCCAGCCTTCAAGACTCCAATACTAGTATTTGGAACCGTAAGGCAAATCTTTCTTTCCTGTGGACTTTTCCATACACCCAAGGATCATATTGCTAAGTTTGATGGTATATTTTCTTGACAATTATGGTATGAGTGGTAATGTTAGATATTTTTGGAAAACAACATAGTATCGAGGGATCTAAGGGTATAGAATACCCCTCAACCACACAACCGGACCCTCAACAAAGAAGAACTCGATAATCCCTTTTCTATTTCTATTACCATCCTCATAGTAATTTTGGGAAAGAGGTAGTCGGTAAATGGCCGCGGAAAAGTTATCAGCGCTATTCTGACGGGCGAAATCAAAATTGATCATATAAGTAATGATAAGCGGCACTCGTGAATCACTCAATGGGTATCCCTTTATCGTATAATAAATAACTAATAAAACCGAACCTGTTTTAGCAGCAAAGCTGATATTATCAGCCAAAAACTGTTGTTGTTGCTGTTGTTCCCTGATGATCACAGCTTCGCTGTCGAAACGCGTACAGCATTTTAATATAGGTATTCGGTTCGACGGACATTACTGAAGACTGACACAATTAATTCAAGTAGGTTGGGTTTGAGTCCCTTTCGTAAGCATAGGGTAGAAATGCAGTATAAATTAATAGTAAAGTTTGTGGTTAATAAATTGAGCAAACTAAGAGACCTTAAAAAATTAAATTCAAAAGAGAGCTAGCTCATTTCAACAAGGGTTGAGATAAATCCTCAGTACAGGCGAAAATCCGTTTTCATATGTAAGTAGAGTTCACCAGTTGTCTACGTTACTATTGTTTCACAATTTAAAAAAAGCTATTTGTTTGCACTTAAATAAACTACAACACGATAGATATTTTCACACTGTATCAAAGAAAAATAACTTGAATCCGTGCATCTCCTTTTCTTTTTCTAAGTGTATACAATTCGAAAGTTTGTTGAAATGTCTCAAAAGTTTAAGTACAATTATCCCATTTTTAGTTTTGTTCTTCCAGTGCTTTTTGTTCGCAAACTTTTCCAACTCCGCTACTACGAGTAACTTTATGAATATTAAGCTCCCGGTGCAACTTTTTTTTAGTAAATTATGCATACCTTAATTAAAACCTAACAAAATTAGATGCTTTGTGTAAAATTATTGTCGTTCTTTTATGACCAAACGTTAGACGTTGTATTGAAATAAATGCAAAATTGCCTCTTGCGTTGTATACAACGTACTTACTTCAAGCATAACCACATACTATCATTTTATTACAGATTACTAATCCACGTTTTACAGTGATATTTATTAAGAAGTAAACATAGGGAATTACGTGTATTGTTTTTCCCGATGTCTACTTTGAAGTACAATATAGTGAACGCGGACGTATCACAATTAAACTCAAAAAACCCAGAAGTATACTCTTCCTTCCGGATATCAGTCATCGAAAATCTCAAAGACGAAATTTTAAAAGCAGATCTGTGGCCCGCGGGAGTTCTTATCAACCGGTTTTTTTGGAGTCCCCCAAAATCAACAGATCAGAGGTAAAGCCAACTAACTCTAATGCTACTCGCTCCATAAGTGTATTTAACATTAACATTCAGAGCTTAAGGCTCAAAGTAAATGAACTTGAATCTTTTCTAGTCCAGCTTAAATCAAACATTTATTTTATCTGCGTAAGCGAACATTGGCTGACCAAGTTAGAAATCAGTGGAGGTTTCCAAATAGGAGCATGGAAAATTGCATCGGCTTTCTGCAGAACCAGCAGTATCCATGGTGGGGTGGCGATCTTCATTAATTCGGGACTTAATTTGACATTTGAAGCAATTTCCAGCATTACCGCACTATCCCAAGAACGTCATTGTGAATTAGCTGCGCTCTACTGTGCCACACAGAGAGTGGTAATCATATCGGTGTATAGATCTCCACTGGGAGACTTTGACATTTTCTCTAATGTGTTCAGTGCTATGTTGCAAGAATTAAATCATAACTCGGACATTGTAATTGCAGGTGACTTTAATGTACATTTTAATACGGAGGATCGTAATGCAGTGTTTGTATCGAACTTATTAACTTCCTATGGGTTTGTACAAACCGTTTATGAACCCACGCGGCTCTCAAATTGCATAGACAATGTTTTCGTCAACTTCTCAAAAAATAGATTC